TTTAAAGAAATATCAGTTAATCTCAAAAGTATTACCAGTTTGTTTCATTATTCGCCTAACCATTAATCATAACATAATTCTAAAAAAAGTCAATGTTTATAAAAAATTAAAAATGAAAACAAAGAATTATGATACAATAAAAAACAGTCAAAATATTTATAAAATTAAGAAAACAACGAATAATTATTAATTATAAAATTGAAAAAAATCAAAAGATTCGGTTTAAAAGATGAAAGACAAACATTATCAATGCGATACAATCCATTAGCGGAATTATGTGCTAACATTGCTAGCCATATCATAACAAATTTTGAAATTCCATTATATTCATTTAAGAATTTGCTCACATAATCCATTATTTTATGATATCTTTCCTGGCATTCACCCTTATAGAAATAATTGTTGAAATTATTTGAATCATTCTTCGTCTTATGATTGATGGATCGCTGTACCAGAGCACTATTCATATGAATGGATTATAATTTCAAATTATCATACTTTTCTGACAAACCTCGCACTAATTTTTTTTTTTTTATTTTTACTCAAATGATCATTTATGTGCTGTTACATGCTTTGTTTAATATATTGCTCTTTATATTAATGGCGATAAAAATTTGAAAATTTCTAATGTTTAAAATTGAAGAAATCAAAAGTACGAAAAGATAATCCGAAATTTACTGGATTCCACAATTTTTTAAATACATCTTATTTTGTTTCAATAAACATTATTTAAATAAATTACCCGCCGTAATGATCAGTGGGAGGATCGCCATAACCTTTACAATTTGGCCAATTAAATGTACCAACCCAATCTTCTGCTATCACTGATGCATAATTTTGATCGACGAAATCGTAAGTTATAGTTTCATTTCTTTTTACACCATCCTGAAAATGCACCAATTTATTGAATTTTTAATTTGAACCCATCATTTGAAATGGCAAAAGGAAAGAGATGAAACGACAAGGAATATTAGGATTTTAATAATTTTAAAGTAGCAAAATGACTTGGGAAATTTTTAATGATTCGAAAATAGTATGTTCATACGTCAAGCAACGGTCAACAAGGAATTACTGTATCGGGAAGAGGTACTGTGTCAGAAAGGAGTACTGTGCCAAAAGTACTGTGTCAAGAAGGAGTACGGTAGGATGAAGATATCGATACAGGTGAAATGAGATACTAACAGAGTTGAAAAGACTAGCAAAAGATAGAGCAAAGATTGGAAAATTTGAAGGAGTTTAAAACTTTGTCATCTATTTAAATATTTGAGCTTGTTACATTCGTGCGAAGATTATCAGACAATGAGATTGCGATTTTCTCCAATTTTTTTTTTTTTATTCTTCAGTGTTATAATGCTTTAAGAGTATAAGTGCAACTTATCTTACATGAATTTGGATACTCCGATTTACCTTTACCAGGAAAACGACGCTCATCCAGTTCAAATATACGAGTCCCTGAAAAATAAAAAGAAAAAAATTCAAAATTGAGTTGAAAAATATCAAATTATCGAACAAATATGTAAGACGCAGACTTTGCTCGTGAAATATAAGTGAATAAAATTTAATGAATTAAATGATAAATAATTAAGAAAAAAGAGCAATAAAGGGTGCATTAAGTGAATTAAAGGATAAATGAGTGATAAACAAATAAACAATGGACGAGAACAAGTAAAGAAATAGAAAATAAAATTAAGAAATGACGATCAATGAAATTAAATTAAATTATACTTAGAAAACTTTTAGATTTTTTCATCAACATAATTTGTAAGAGAAAACCTGAAAACATGGCGAAAGCATTTGGTCGACTATTAAGGCCAGCTTTGTTGTGATAATAAAATGTTGTCGCATCGTACAATTGACGCAAAACCTCAGAATTACGATCTTTTACATGAATTTCAATAAATCGCTTCAAAGCTTACTTTCGTTTTACTCCAAATTTCATCGAATTATTGTGCCTTTTTTAATCAAACTTGCAAAAATCTTCTATGATTCCGTTATCGCTGTCACCAATAACAAATATTATATAATTTGATTTGATTACATGAAACGGTAATCATCGACAGACTGGCAATGCTTCCTAATTTTAACAGTTAAATATGTTTTATCAAACGTAGAAGATAATGAATAGAAGTTTTAAAAAGTCATCAGAAAATATACTCAAAAAACTACTTGATTAGTTTTCATGATTGTGCGGATTCCGGATGAGGATGAGGTGGAATCAAGAACTAAAATGAATACACTTGGATGCAGTTCATCTTCTTTTTGGAATACTTTTTCTTTCGATTTCACCACCTGAAAAAAGCATTCAACGAATTTCAGAGAAGCATTTGTCACAAAGTATGCTAAATAAAATTAGTTTGNTTATATTTTAATTAGCATTACAATTCAAATATAAAAAAAGATTAACAGCTATTTGAATAAAATCGAAATCGGCTTTTTATTTTTGTTCCATATTTCTAAAATATATTTGTTTCATTGATGGTTTTCTTTTTGGAAGGATCTTTTTGAAAGATGAAAGATCCTTTCAAAATGATCCTTTTTGAAATAAAAATAGTCATCGATTAATTAAAATTGAAATGTGAAACAAAAATGCACTGTTTAGAAGGTGGAAATAACAAGCCTGGCTATGGATGTACTGAAAGGTTGTTCTTTTATTTTTCGTGCATTGTGTTTCGATAAAATCACAGTTTTCATGGTATATTGCACTTTTTTTCATTTTAGTCCAATTATTCGTTTTGAAATCCAATTCACCGTTTGTATAAAGACATCGATATTTACATTCCGAAGTTCTAAGCCATAATTTAATGAATGGGCTAATTTAACTTAGATAGGCTTGTTGTTTTAAAATTGAATAGCAAAAATAATGATAATAAAATTTATTATTGAAATGAAGTAATCAGTTATCTACAACTGTTACAAAAACTTATCAGTTCACACTATTTTTTCATCATTTTTTGAAAAGTTTTGCCTGGAGAAAAAACACTTATTGTTACATTCAAATGCACGCATTTCAGACCTTAATCAATTAAATAACGTAGAAAATTAATTGACAACAGGGAAATGAAACTTTTTGAAAAAAGGTTTTAACAGTATGCGATAAGATAGAAACGTACGTGTTATCAAACATCCGAATGGCGTTGGATTTCAATTCGGTATGCATTTGACGACTTATGTGACATGTTTTGTATGGATTCCAGTCGGGATATAAATAAGGGATAAGTTGAGGATCCCAAGGATCAAGTTGTTGAAGGCGGCATTCCTTTTTCTTTGCGAAGGTTAACTCTATAAAAATCATTAAATGAAAGCTAACTGAAAATAACAATAAATGGATAGGTAATAAATAAAATTCCAATTTTTTTTTCTGCTGGAAACGCATTTATTTTCCCAATAATGTTGTGATATTTTTTTTAATTTTTTTCACTTTATAAAAATTTTGATTCAAACATTTTGCCTTTTTTCCTCTCAAACTATTTTATTTAAATTTAAAATTCCACATTAATGGAACTTTCTACGAAATTCAATATATTTAAATGAGAAATTTTAGAAGAACAATGGGAAGCAAGAATTTATGTTTGAAAGAAATATATTCGTAAAAGAAATATAAGAATGATTACTTTGTTCAAAAAATAGAGGAATTGATTGTTTTAAAGCGATCTGAGTACGAACGTCACCGAAATACAGATTAATTATCACAAAAAATAATCCAGTAATTAATACAAATGCCACTAAAAATTCATTCCTCTTTAATTTGGCCATTACCGCATTGAAGGATCAGCAATGATGAAATATGCTGAAATAATCAATTCTAATAAATTTTAAATTAACAACCTTTAGATTTTTATTTCGTTTCATAAAATTTGTCATTTTATAAATAAATCATCAAAGTGCTAACAGTTAAGCATAAATAAATCTTATTTAATTTTATGCTAAAATGAAACTAAAGTGGTAAATTTGATAATATTTAGGTCAGTTAATCTTCTATTATATTTTTAATTAAATAAACTTCTACCGGGCACTGTTACCTTAATTATTTATAGCCTAGCAAGGTATCTCGAACAGTCTCAACTAATGAATAAGCTAAAATGATCGCCTTTTTTGATCCTTTACGCGATGTCAATTTAACCGTATCATATCGCTATTACAGCTTTCCTAACCAATACTGATAATATTTGATAACAATAAAACCGAAAAATAAAAATTTTAATTTGAAAGGTTTATTTAAAAAAAATTTTTTTCGAATTTGAAATTATTATCATTTATCACTCATATAAATTTTGCAATAGATCTAAAGCTTCTGAAAAGTAAATTTTAATGAATATTTTCCAAATTCTATCTTTTGTGATTGATTTTGGTTAGCCCAAAAAATAATTATGAATTTAAGTTTGCAAGAAAGATATCAGATATGAATATTTTTGGACAGAAAAAAAATAAGGGAAATTTAAGAAATTACTCATTTATTTGTGTTTTGACAACAATTGAGATTCAATGTTAAACTGAAAGACGAAGAGCGATGATGAAAAAAATTTTTTTTAATAATATTTTTTGAATGATAACGTGAGATGATGTTGATTTAAGTATGTGAAGGAAAATCTCTGTCAAAGCGATCAAAGGAAGGAAAAGTTAAACGACAAGCTGATGTGCACATTATGATCTTTTTTTGTTAGGAAACCAAAAGATGATAATAAAAAACTCGGCAAAAAAAATTAGACAAACGATTTGAACATAAGTTTAAATATTGCAACTTAAAAATTTCAATCATACAAATCATTCATGGCATCTTCTACATTTTTCTTTTTGAAAAATGATAATAGCAAATTAGATGAAAAAAAAAAACGAATTGTTGATAATCTAAGTGTTAAAATTTGGAAAGTGTGATCGAAAGAGTGATGTTAGTATAAGTGATAATATGATGGCATTTTGATAAATACTGATAATAAATGTAATATTCAGCTTACAATTTGAGCGAAATCAAAAAGGCAATCAAAGCGATGGTGTATTTCGATTGTTTCATTTTTATCCCAAACTATTACTGTTCATATTGAACGCTTTCAATTTTCGTTCCAACCAAAATTCTCCGTTTATTTGTCTTTAATACATCATTTTAATAGCAATTTCATACAAAACTTCCATCGAATCATATATGCCATTATTCACCTAAAATGAGGAAAACAATAATTTCACAATAATTTAAAATCGTTCAATATGCATGACTGTAAATGACATCAAAGAACAGTTATAAAAAGAACTAATTTCCTATTTTACAGAATTAATGCTTACTTTACAAGAAAAAAAAAATCAAATAAAAACTGTATTACTTAGCCAGAGATATTGAAAATTTTCAATTTTCCTTTCTGTTTAATTCTTTCAATATCATATCTGATAATTTATACAATGCTATCATATCATTCAATATCATATCTGCATTTTTATCTTATCATTTTAACGTTTATATTATCCGTTTTATAGTTTATCTGACATGAAGCAAATCAAACATATTCTAAAAGACTTCATTATTTGTCGTTTAATTTCAATCCTTTATCATCTCTTATCTTTTCTATCTTTCTTTCTTCCCATCAATCCTTCAATATTTTACACTTTGACAATTATTGTTGCTTTTTTTTTTCACTTTTTACTTGCATTACTCATTTGTTTCATTATATTTTTCAATGAATACAAAAAGTATAAATTTCTGTTCAAATATCATTATTTTGAAAAATTTTACTTCAATAAATGAAAAAATGCGAATCATCAAATATTTCCTTGTTATTGAAGAGGTAAAAAATTTTGGAGATATTTTTCAAAGATTGATTGAGGAATAGAAGTGAGGAAATAAAAGATTACCAAAAAGATTAACATTTATTATCCCCTAACAAATCTCCCTCTCCCCCCCCC